GCCGGGCCCACCACAGCTCTGCCTCTGCTGGCCTCTGACTGGGGGTACAGTGTGGGCGCCGTTGTGGAAGTGCGCCCCACGGCAGTGCTAACAACGCTGTGACTTTGTCACCAACAGAAATCAGGTTTTCCCTATCGCGGTGGGTGGGGCATCTCAAAATACGCTTTGTGCTCATCACTGCTTCAGATTATGTGACACCCACTTACTAAACATGTGAAAGGAGCTCATTTGTCTTTTAAGAATCTGATAAAAGTTTTCAGCATAATTGACTTCATTTGCAATCCTGTGTGTTTTATGCATTTAATATGTATTTCTGAGAAGGAGTCAGTACACTTTGTCAAACAGCTTGTTGTTGTTGTTTTTTTTCCTTTTGGCATGAAATTAAAACTCTTGCTCTGGGTGCTTATTGCCTTTTCTGAGCTGTTGTCAAATGCCTTTTAGTGGTGTGCAGCAAGATTTCAGGAGCCCTAGGCCTCCAGTAGCTTATCTTTTGCAGCAGGTTGTTCTGGGTTCTGCTTCAGTCCAGCTACATATTACATGATCTTCAATGAAGTAGATTTTTATAAATTAAAACTCTTCTTAAAGTTGTGGCTCTCGTCCATGAGCATTAAAGTGAGTTTTAAACACCAAGCCCTAAGCAGCCTGTGTAGCATCAGGCCTGTTTCACTAGATGTCATGGCTGAGGAAGCCCTGAGCAGTGTCAGGACTGGAGGGAGAGAAACCCAGGCGTCCTGCTGCTCACCACGCATCCCTCCTCTCTGCTGACGCTCCGTGTGCTTTTGACGTCTCATACCTTAGCTCTGGAGGGGTTTGAGGCCATCCTACCTGATCTTCTGCACATTCTGAGGTTCCCCTTCACATCCCACCTGAAAGGAGGTTGTCGGCTGTGAACACTGACTGCGGGAGCTCCTCTGTCTGAAATACTCTTGCATTATCAGCATCACCTGGCAGCTGGTTAGAAATGCAGAATCTTAGGCCCCACCCAGAATCAGAACCTGCATTTTAACAAGATCTGGAGGCATTTTGCACATTAAAGTTTGGAAGCAGAGGCCTGGTCTCTGAGCAGCTGTGACAGTTAGAGGGCCGGGTGTGAGCTGCAGTCCACGTGGCCCTGGGTGCGTGGCAGGTGACAGACCAGACCACTTGTGGAGGAAGCACAGAGGGGGTGGCCTGAGACGAGTAGCGTGCTCAGCCTAGCCCTTGTTCGAGGCCACGGCTTTGTCATCCTTTACCAGACCTGGCGAATTACACTGAGAACTGTGTAGTGCACAGTTCAGATGGTGGACAACTAGATTTTATTTCATTTTGCTTATTTGTTTTATTTATGTCATATTTTTATTTTGAAATAGAGGTACTTTTTTTGTTGTGTTCATCCTGAATTTCATTGAAGTTTGGTGATAGAGTCATATATTTTAGATACTTACTGATGTGATGGCCTGTTTTGTGCCAGCGCTGTTGAAGTGCAGAGGACACAGAGAAAACAGCAAGTTCCTGCCTCGCTTAGCTGCGAGAAGGCCTCGCTCACAAGCTGATGGCCCGGGGCCGACATGGCGTCAGTAAGGGGGATGTGTTGAGGTGGGGCCCGTGGAGGGCACTCCAGCAGAGGGCACAGCCAGCGCCACAACCTCCAGGCAGACCCTCTCGTGACTGCAGGGATTGAACAGAGGGAAAAGTGGGGTGACAGGAGTGGACCCCACGTGTGGGGGTGTGGAGATGAAAAATGAGCGGCCTTTCAGAGATAAAGTGAGGCGCTGGCAGAGGAAAGGCCTTTTGGAACTTCACGGGAAACGCTGCCGGGCTGCGTCGGCCTTGTTCCTCGGCCAAGGGCCTTTCCTCCCGGCTTCCTAGCAGTGGCGGCGGAGGGGCGGGCAGGCCGAGGGGGGCCTTCGCGTGTACATTGAGCTCATGACCGGCGCTGCTTGTGAGCGTGAGTCAGAGAGCATTTGAGTTGAACTGCAGAGGTCACATGGGGCAAATTAACTTCACCAAAAATAACCCCAAAAACATCATTTCTGGGAAATGCATGTGAAGACAGCTTTCAATGTAAACAAAAGAGCAAAGTAAAGATAAAGGCTTGGTTGGGAAAGGGGAACATTTGGAAAGCTAAGAAGAAATGCTTGGGGGAAAAGTCCTGAGGAAAACAAGTGTTTCTTTTCCACTAGTCAGAGCTTTAGAGGGTTTGTGCTCATGTGTTTGTGGCAGACGCTGCGTACACATTTGGATAGGGCAGCTCACAATCTTTCCCTTCTCTCTGTAGCTGCTGCAGAGACCTGCACCCTGTAGCTTTTTCTGTGCTTCCTGCCCTCTCTGCGTGACCTCGTGGTCTGTGCTGGGAATGGCAAATGACAAATGCAGGCAGATGCCTGGACGTGGGGCTGGCATGGTCCGCAGCCTGGCTGCTGTTAGACTCCCCTGGGAGCTTAATGGACAAAACACTATAGTCCCCACTCCAGAAACTCTGATTTAATGGGGTGGGTGGGACTTAGTGGTGGCATGCAGGGGCTCCATTGCAGCCAGGGTGGAGAACCACTGTCTGTGCCCAGCTGTCCCCATTCACAAGCTGTGCTCCCTGGACTGGCATGAGATACTGTTGGCCGTTGTGTGTCCTCTCCCCTCCTCCTCCGCACAGCCCCAAAGGTTTCTGCTTGGAATGTTTTGGGTGTGGGCAAGCAGAGTGTCTCTGCTTGGGGCAGGGGAGGTCTGTCACCCAGCAAGGTGGGACTGGTGTGTTTGCTTACCCAGACAACTCAGCCCCTCTCTTCTCAGGACCAGGACTTAGAATTACTTACCAGGATCACTAAGACAGCTGCAGGCTGACATGAGTCAGGCCAAATACAATGACCGACTGCCGTAGCTACATATACATAGTTAAAGCATTAACCTCCTAAGTTGTTTCCCAAAGTAATATTTGCTGGAACTAGTAGTATTTATTTGGAACTAAAAATCTTGCTCTTTGAGTAATTACTTATGCCTATTAACTCTATTATCGTACTAGGAAAGAAGTTCATTTCTGGAATTCTTGACCATTGGATGGGGAAAGAAATTTTGCTATATCTAAGGGAAATGATGCAATTTAGTTGAATTATAAATGTAAACACATTTGATCCTTGAACAGCAGTGGGTTTGAACCTTACAGGTCCATGATTTTTTTCAATAAATACATTAGAAAAGTTTTCGGAGATTTGTGACAATTTGAAAAACCTCGTAGTTGAACTGGTTAGCCTACTGAAAAAATTAAGACAGAGGTATGTCACAAATCCGTAAAATCAACAGTAGGCTCTCAGTAAAGATTTTGGGAGAGTCAAAAGTTATATGTGGATTTCAGGGCTGTGGGGAGTTGGCACTCCTAACCCCCATGTTGTTCAAGGGTCAGCTATAATTCAAAATTATATCTGCCTTGATAACATCTTGGTAATATTACCGAAAGGATTGGCCTTTTGGAGGGGTACTGGATGGGTAAAGCTGATTTCCTTGGGTTATGTAAATTTCCCCATTAAGTGGACTGTGGCAAGTCCCCATCTTGCTTGGGGTCTCGTGCGTGGGTCAGGTGTGCTCTGCGTGTCTGCAGGGCTTTGCTTTGTGGGAGTGGAGAGGCTGTGCAGGGCTTGTGGTTGCCTGCGGCTCTGTGGTGACAGGTTGTTGCCTTCTGGTTACCAGGGCAGGTGCTAGCTCTGTGCACCAGCGGGGGCCGTGTTTGTCCCCTTCTCCCAGCTCTGGCCCTCTGCTTCGCTGTGCCCTGGGCCTGACTTGCATGTGGGAGGTAAGATCTGGGCTTGCAGAACATTACAACCTCCACCTTCCATCCAAGTGACAGAGTAAACCAAGGAATGAAGGCTGATAATGCACGTGTGTGTTTCTCCGTCTTTGAAAGCCCAGGCCTCTTTTGGTAAACTTTTAAGTCTTAACTGTCCTCTATCATTCTTTGACTTTGACATCTAAAATTGTGACTCTGAAGACATTAAACCGTTGTTTTTTTTATTCTTCTATATACTATAAGTAATATATTTTGGCTGTAAAATTTTCCATTGCTAATTATTATTATTAGGGGGAAAATGAAAGTTACTGTACCCTCCCCTGCCACCCAGGAAAGCCTCTTTCCCTCTGCCCAGGTTACTGCAGTAAAGTCATCCATGGCCTTCTGGCCTCATTCTGTGGTTTATGCGCAGCCGCGTTCACTGTAAGCCAGAGAAAGGGGCGGAGGGACGGAACGGCGCTGCAGGACTTGTTTTTTAAACTCGTGTGCGCTGAAGAGCTTTCCTGGTCAGTGGAGACCCTGCCCTCTCTCTCAGAGCTGCAGCCTAGGCCGCCTGGGCCTCTTCCCAGAGCCGGCTCACCAGGCTCACTGCACAAACCCCCCTGTGCCGAGCGGCCGCACCCCTTTCTCACGGGTAAGCATGTTGTGTGATGAGTCCCTAGAAATGGCCTTGTATGATTTTAGAATGAGCTCTTTTAAAATGTACCCCCCAAGTAGATCCAAGTAGATCTGTGCTTTACTGTTGTTTTTAGAGCAGTTTATAATTGACTCAAAATTTATAGAAGGACTGTGTTGAGTCCTACTGTGTAATTAGTTTTATAGGGAAGTGTACGATCTGAAGAAATAAAAAATAAGTTTTGCCTCAGATATAGGGATATAATTCATGGTAATATGGCTGACCGTTTCTATCCAGTCCAGTGAATCACTGGCATAAGACAAACTCCTGTGCTTGCTCAGTTGTTTGGGCTGTTTTTAAGTTTCAGCAGTGAATTAAATTGGTGAAATTTTTGTCTTTCTCAGGAAGTGCTTATCATTACACTAGGAATACATGTTTTATGGGAAAATTTAAAACTGCATTCAGTATAGATGCCTCTTAAATAACAACGCAAATCGTTCCATATGAAGTAAATGGAAGAAAGTAAGATGCTCATATTTTTGTCCCTTCAGGTGACTCCAAGGCCCGAGCCCCCCGCCAGCAGTGTCAGTAACAGTTTGGAGAATGCACTGCGCACATCAGCACATTCCACGGAGGAGTCGCTGCCCAAGAGGCCTGTAGGAAAACACTCCAAAGGTGAGCGGGCGTGCGGAGGGCTTGTGGGGGCAGAGGGGCTCCTCCGGGTGCTGGCCGCCTGCTCCCAGGGCCACCCGGTGTGAGGAGAGGTGCCCTTCTTTCTCTAAACTCTACAAGCAGTCCATGAGTGTGTCTCTGCTGGGTGAGCCTCAGATGCTGAGAAAGGGAAAACGTGGAAGTTGTCCCCCCTGCCACCGCCGCCACCGCACACCGGCCTGAGCCCTGGCTTCCAGAGCAGTGCCACCCTGTGGTGCCTCCTCGGGGCGGGGCATTATTCCTCTCCCCTGACTCAGCTGCCACTGGCCACATGTGTCTTTTGAGCACTTCAGGGTGGCTCCTGCAGCTAAGGACCTGAAATTTTATTGTCACATCATTTCAGTGGGACTTGCTCATGGTGGAGGGTGGCTGTCCTGTAGGTCATGCAGCTCTGGGGACGGGGGCGGGTGCTGCAGATGAAGTTGTGGGACCCTTGTTCACGTCAGCCTGAGTTTCTGCAGCCCACAGACAGGCACAGAACCCTGTGTGGGGAGCTGTGTGATGGGTGGGACCTTTTCCAGGAGGGGAGTGAAGGCGAGCTTGACTAGGCGGGTCACGGGGAGCCCTAAGTCTGCAGAGTCAGGGTGCCACTGGGATGACGTCGACAGGGTTGTGAGGCTGGGGCGCTCGAGGCTGGCCACACTGCTCTGCTGGCTTGCGCCCCTCCTTGTATCTGTGTCTCTTCTAGAACTGTGCCGGCTTGGTCAGGAGCCACGCCCTACTGGTCTTGTGTGTCCCCTTCTGTGTCCCCCATGTCCCAGGTCCAGTGTTTCATACCTCACAGGTGCATAACAAACACTGTTTTTAAAATAAAGTCCCATTCTGACAAAATCATAACGAGCTACCCATCCCTGACTGAGGTCATGTGTGGGAAATATCCATGTCCAAAAGGCTGCACCCATGTTTTTGTATATGTGCACACACCATCCTCACAGCGACTCCCAGCACACAGTCCGCTCACGCTACATACACCACTGGGTGCCCAGCCCCCAGGACGGACACTTGTCATTCAGGCAGAGGGACTTTCTCCCCCCAAAGCCTGCTGTCGTCCGTCCTCCTTCTGTGTGTCATCCAGGGAGAAGTGCCCGTGGAGCGTGGCTCTCTTTGTCCCCACACGGTCCAGCGTGTCTGTGCCCTGCACCCTCCTAATGTGAGGGGCAGCCTCCTTGTACCATCCTGCTCTTCCCATCAGATGGAATTATCAAGGCCTCTCATTCCTTTTTTTCTAGCAAACTGTATGGCTGCTGCCCTCCGGTCTGCACACTCGGCACGCTCAGCCGGCAGGCGAGCCACCTTGGTGTTGGGAAGGCAGATCTGCCATAGGGCTCTGCGGTCTGTTCTCAGACGCCGGGGTACTTGAGAGTGCGGGAGGCCAGATGTTAGTCATCTGCAGGATTCGCCATTCAGTGACCACAGGTGATAATGGTTTCTTCTGTCCAGAAGTGGGAGAGCAGGTGAGCGTGCCTCCCTGGGCACGCCTCTCGCCATGCTCTGTTGGGCTGAGGTTGCAGCCCTTCAGAGTCTGCCCACTGTCTGAGGGGGCTGCCATAGCGTTTCCTCCCTGTCTTTTCTGCACCCACTCACGTAGTGATTTTCTGTGCTTCCTTGGTAATCCTCAGTGATGAGCTCTGAGTCACAAAGAGGTCAGACTTCTGCATTTCTCTTGTATAAAAGCTCAGGGAGCAGCATAAGGGAGTCTGAAACCCTGCCTGCTCTTGTTCGCTGGTGCACCAAGCTTGACCGCACTGACCCACACGATCCTCCCGAGGGCCCTGTGGGAGCTCAGTTACAGCTGTTCAGCTCTACCAGCACTCCCTCCAAGGCCCAATGGCCCTATTTCACAGATGGGAGGAGTGCGTCACAGACAAGTACCGGCCCTGTGGGCAGCCGGTGGGCCAGCCCAGAGCTAGTGCCCCCCAGCCCGCCTGTTAGCCTGAAGGGAACAGGAGGGAAGTCAAGGTGGTGGTGCTTAAAAGCACATGTTATGAAGGGCAAGTGGCACCTTTATTCTGTATTATTTGTTGTAAAGATTTACAAGTAAAGGAGTGGAGAGACCAGCACAGTAGTTCCCAGCATCTGGCGATGGCCTTGTATTCCTTTGGGACCTGGGTTACTCAGGAACATGTGGGACCATGCACTCTGGGGGAGCTCAGAGGTTCCCCAAAACCCAGTCACTGGGATTTACTATTAATTACATTTCAGGAATCGGGTAAAATATACAAGGTGAGGTCGAAATTACTCCTGATAATACACTCAGTGAAAGATGTTCTGTAACTTAGTTCTCTGGGCTTTGAGTAATAATTCTTAAAAACTGACCTTTTGTAAGACAGTGAAAGAGTGTCATTAAACAGCAGATCACTTAGCAGTTCTAAGACTTTTTAGTCTTGAGACCCTTTTGAATTCTTAAAAAATTAAGGATTCCAAAGAGCTTTTGTTATGCGGGTTATATCTATAGATATTTCCCATTTTGTAAATTATGACAGGTTCTTTTCTTACGTGAATAAATGCTTTTCATTCTGTGTCGCAGAGGTTTTTGTGTTCGTGTAGCATTATTACAGGATCGGGCACTCAAAGTCTGAGCCCCAACAGTGTTGTGTTTCTGTGAAAACAAAACCCACCCAGAGGATTGGGACATGAATACTAATAATCCAAGAATTGTAACGAAACCTGAATTCTAAAATACCAGTAGTACATTCCCTTTCTTGGTTTGCACTCAGTTTGGAATTGAGAAGCCTTGATAATTCTAATTCCTCCAGGGGCTATTTATTTAACATTGTATCACAGAGACTTTGAAACATGTAGTAAAAAACAAAGAATCTTGCACTGACTGTCTACTGCCCAGAGCCGCCATCTCACTTCACTCCCCTCCTCTGTCCATTCTCCATCCATCAAGACAATGCTTTTTTTTTTAATGCATTTCAAAGAAAGTTGTTCTTTTGGCTTTTGCTTTACTTCTGTGCTTTTTTTTTTTAACTGGTTGTTTTCTGCCTTCCTCAGCCAGGGATCCTCTTTTGAGTTGCAGAACACAGAGTTACACATCTCCTAAAGAAAATGTATTTAGAGACCCAGGTATAGAGTTGATTCATTCCATAATGGCTTCCTGAGGGCAGGAGGGCTGAGCTGTCTTTACGGACCCCAGCTGAGAGAGGCCACGCATGACGGTGCACATCTAACTTGTCAGGCTTCACTCTGAATAGTGAGCCACTTCATATAAAATATAAGAACCCAGCAACTGTGCCGTTCAGTGGTGTGCTAAAGCCAGATTGTGGCCATGAGATGTTTTAACCTCTTGATGTCACACTGATAGCGTGAAATCCGCCATGGTAGAGGTATTTGCCCATTGGAACCTGGTAAATGCCGAGGATTCGGGGCTGCCCTAGCCGGCCGTGAGACAAGCCCCAGGCACCGTTGGTGTGGTTCCTTGCTGTGTAGTTAGCAGAAGGGGAGGAGGACCCCCTGACACACTGGCTTGTACTCTCTATACTCAGCTCTGTGACCCCACACTCTCCTCCCTGGCTCCTTTACATTTTTAAGTTGTGGGAATGGCATACATGCAATGCAGTAAGTAGTGTGGCAGGCCCTGCCCACTCCCTGGTTTCCTCCTGCTCCCTCAGCCCTGCTGCCTCTGAAATGCCCCTCTGCCTGCCCGGAAGCACGAGTGCTGTGGAGGGGCTTTTCCGTCCCCTGCCTGGTGACTCTGTCTGAGTGTCTTGGAGCCTGGGCTGCAGCCACCATCAATCTGACAATGACTGAGTCCAGCTGAGACCCTTCTTTCTCCTGGACTCAAACCCTAGGATTCCTTCCAGCCACGGACTGTCTCCCACTAGGCAGCCTGCCCGCATCTCAGTGCCCCTGGAGTGGACCATCCTTTCATTGCTGTACCTGCAATGGGTTTCCAGCATGTGCGATCGGCACCAAATTCCAGTACCTGGAGCAAAACCTGCAGACCAGCACAGCCCCTGTCCCAGGCGAGGGGTCTCAGCTGTCTGGCCCGGAGCACCCTCGCCTTTTCTTCTTCCCATCATTGCAGTCACTGTCCTCTTCCAGCTTCCTTGATGCCCACAGGTTCCCCTCTGCAGTCTGTCCTCCCAGCAGAGACGCCTGTCCTTTGGGTCATGGCAGCATGGACAGCAGCAGCTGATGTCATACAGCCCGACCAGCACCAGGTCCCTCCTTGGCAGCATCACATGTCCACCCAGTTGATGCCAGAAGCCCATGAAGGAGGAGCCATTCTTCCTTTGTCCAGGGGTTAAATAACTGTCCCACGTCCCTGAGCGGGAAATGGTCACATTTCCAGCTGAGCCTGGCTGCAGAGCCCATGCTTTGCCTCGGCCCTCTGGGAGCAGGCCTCTCGTGGGGTTTGTGGGTGGCCCTGGAACCTGCCACACTCGCTTCATGTCCCTGGCTCCAGCTGCAACCGGATTCCTCAAATGCCAGGTGCTGTCACACCGGGCCTTGATCACCATGTCCCTGTCTCCGGGGGCCCCTTCCCTTTGAACTGGGTGATTCTCATGTTGTTGGTGGCCCATGGTATGCCAAGGACATAGTAATGCTGAATAAAATGCTTGCCTTACTGCACAGATAAGTGAGACTCCTCAGGCCCCTGAGGTCGAGTGCCATGTCTCTGGCACATGTCTCTGGCACAGTGAAGTACAGATGGGTTCATTTCATTTTGCTTCTTTAGAAAGAGCATTTCTCAGCTCTGTGTTTTCTGCAGCGCACACTTCTTGTGTTTCTAACTCTATTTCTGGAGAACTAACAAATCAGATTAATGCAAGCTTGATGATAAAAAAAATCAAAGATAAATTATAGAATTCTTAAATATAACATGATGTGCCCTAAAAAGATATAGGAAAGAAGGACCAGTTTAATTAGTATAGTCGTGAGTGTTCAAACTTCCACAACAACTGAAAAAAGCAGTGCTTCTAAAAATTACCCGTCAACAGATGACGGGGGGTTGGGGGGCACGGTGAGGGAAAGTGAGCTGACACTTGGGGAACGTATGTATTCAGCTGAGACTGTTAAGAATACAATTTCCAATTTTTAAATGAAAACTCGGTTTCAGTAATAAAAATTTAAAGCAAGAAACATCTTAAATGTTATCCTGGTTCAGCTTCTTTATTTCAATTAAGACATTGAGTTCTGTTGTATAGAATTAGGGGAAGGAGGTGTTTGTGCTGGAAAATCATTTTCTATCTTTTTCCTCAGTCATAAATTCTATCCTCTGTACCATGGATTTCTTTTATTGTAGTTTTGGTAATTTTGAAGCAGTTTCTTGTTCCTAGGTATAAAGAACTAAACTGTTTAGTGACGATACATTGAAATCAAGTAAAAGGCATATCTGACATGACACTACCAACTACCAGATTTTCCAGAAGACTTTAGGGTAGAAAGGGAAAACATTTGAGGGAGTGCCTCCTTCTCGGAACACAGTGAAGCCATGGCTCATCCATAGGTGTCCCGCCTTACAAGAACTGGAGTGACAGTCAGCCTTGTAGCTCATCTGAAGATGCTTGGCAGCAAGGTGGCCCTTCGGCTGTGTCAGTTTAAACCGGGGGCTTCTGGCCTGAAATCAGGAGAATGTGTCCTGGGCCTGGTGTGGGCACCTGCTGGCTGTGCGGCCTCCGGGTCAGTCATGGCCCTAGGTCACTGCGACTCCTCGCCAGCTCCCCCACCTCCCGATTGCCCGGCCCTGCCTCAGGCCTTCCAGAGTGCGTGCTCCTACACATGAATTTCCCTCCCTCTTTTTTCAATTACATTGGTCTATTGGTTCTTAAAATTAGGTATTGATCCAGTAATAAAATGGTAGTTCAATGCAATTGTACGTATTATCAAGGGCTCTGTGATTGATCTAATTTGTCAGATTTGAGGAGAATGAAGAAAAAGCTTGAACAAGCAAAATTTTAAAGGAAGAAGTGCATCGTCCTTTCTTTCTCATCCTGCCCTAGAGAGCAGGCTGGCTAGCCTTGTGTGCCCTGGTGCGCCGGCGCCCGCCTGCACCCCAGCCCTGGTCCCCCTCTCCCTGGGGAGCAGCCTGGGGCACAGAGCCTGTCTGTATTGCACCCTGGGCTCTGTCTCCCCCTTCCCACGGATGGATATCACCCCAGAAATTTATATGTTTGCACACTTTTCCTCAGAAAGTGATAGGCCTTGTGGCAGTGACAGGCGGGGGCTGCCATATCTACCATTAGACTTCTAAGTGAGTCATAAGTAGATGTCTGTATGCATGTATGTTTACACTTTGCACTAACAAAGCCACATTGCAGAAATTTGTGGGAAATGTACACAATTCTACCACCAAACAAAATTATCCCTATCATTTTTCATAATTCAGTTATAGTCTTTTTCTTTTACATTTTTAACAGCTGTAATTGTGCTACACGTACAATTTTTCGGGCAGTAATATAAGCATATATTCATGTTTTTGTTATTATGATCATGGTCTTTAACAGCTCCAAAGTGGAGGGCACGCTTGCACCCCTTTTAAGCCTAAGTAATACCCCAGAGCCCCGCTCTTCCCTCCACCCATTGCGTGTCAGGACTCCCTCTCCAGGGCTCCCTCGGCCCGTCCTTGGAGACCCCTGACCACGGCCCCTGCTCTCAGGAGGGTGCCGGGAGGGGCCCGGTGAGTGACTGACTGTAGGCTGGGCCTTGGCCGGCTGGCCTGGCAGGAAGAGGCCAATGGGCGGCGGCTGCAGGCTAATGGCAGGGGTGGGATGAGGCGCCACGTCGGTGGGCCCAACAGTTTTGAAGAGGTCCTGCAAATATTTCACTCCTGGAGTTTAATTCAAAATGCCTCTTTTATTTGAAAACAGCTGAATAACATTCATCTGCTTTTCACATTTTCCTGTCCAGATATGAGTCACTTCCCACTCTCAGTCCAGATGGGGTTTTTTTCTTTTTACTCTTTTTCATAAATCCTCATGTTCAGTCCTGGAACATTTAGGTACATGAAAATGCTGACTCTGCTTTTCTGTATTCATTGACTTTGTACATTCTGTTGTTTAAACAGGTAAAAGATCTAGATTAGATTGATGTCACTGTGGGCTTGAGTCTTTTGTGAATACTTGTTGGTAAAACATAAACGCTGTGTATTTGCTCGCATCCTGACTGAGGAGCCAGACAGGGACAGTGAGTAGTCCATGGTGCCTCTGAACGCAGAGCTTTCTTTGTTTTGCCAGAAAGGAAACAAACATTCCAATGTTTTTGGAGTAATTCCTTCCTGTAAGGTGCTATTTTAAGCATAAAATAGTCTAAACCAAATGGGTTCTAGTATCTCCCAAGATGCATATAGACCCTGTTGCAACTTTGCAAAATTAGGAAGCCTATAAAAGGATAATTAAGCAAGCGAAGGGTCTTCCCTAGGGGACTGTAACATCTGGGTGGGACTCTCTCTCTCGTTCACCGTTGCACCCTCAGCGTACGCAGCAAGGGCTTCGTACGATGTGCTGGCAAGTGAACCAACGTTGATTTTAGAGCACGATGGACACGGTTTTTCGCAGAGGTCCAGATAGTAAATTCCTTTGGCGTGGGAGGCACATGGTGTCTAGCACAGCTACTGGGCTCTGCCATTATGGTTGGGAAGCAGCCACTGACGATACATCGATAAGTGGTGTGGCTTGCCGCGCAGTAGCGGAACCATGCCTCAAGCAGGCAGAGGGCAGCACTGGCTGAGCACTGCCCAGCGGGACTCTCCATGATGGCAGAGCACCCTGTGCCCTGGCTGTATGGTCGTGGCCGCCACTAGCCACAACCACACACGGCTGTTGAGCATTTAGAACGTGGTTACTGCAATGAAGGAATTAGATTTTTAACTTTATTCAATTGTGATTAGTACAAATTTAAATGGTCACGTGGCCAGTGGCTGTGGTATTGGGCAGCGCAGTCAGAACCTTCTGCAAAGCAAGTTACAAGGTACACGTTCTCTGGGGTGTTCACACACATCAGAGGAAGAAAGAGTTCTGTGGCCAAAAAAACTGGGCAGTGATTGCTAATAAAAATACTTATGCATTGCAGAACTTCTCAGAGCCTTTAACATACTACTGTACATAGACAGTCTACAAGAATAGTTCCTCAGGTATTTCCTCCAGAGTCTGACCATGAAGCTGTTTGAGGGTGGCTCTGAACATCTTACAGGCCTCATGTTCCTGGGAGAAGACTTTGGAAAACATTGATGTGGCAGACCAGGAGATAAAGCGTCTTTGGGGAGTCTAACACAGTAGTCTGTCAAGTTTCATTGAGTATTCCACAGTGGATGGTTAGGTTTAAGATCTGTAGAAATCCCCATATACTGCCAAATGACTGCTCAGAAATAGTAAATGTCAGTACAGGAGGCTCACATATTAAAGCCTGCCTCATCTGCTGTGGTCTTCCTGGCTCTCCATAAAAGGTGGATTATTTGACTATTCGTCCTGCAAAAAAGTACATATTAGTACTTGAGAAACACTAGTGTCTCCGTCAGGAATAGGACATACATATCGTAACATGGTCAGAGTGCCCGGATTTGATAGGTGGCCCTTTTACTTTCAACAAATATTTGTGCTCAAATATTTACATTTTACAAACTTTAAGTTTGCATTTTAAGACTTAAGTTTGAGTGCTTAAAAACTTCATGGCAACATTTTGTTTTTGAGGAGAAAAGAAGTGCACTGCACGTGGGAAGGGGGAGGCGTGGCGAGGCGGGTGACTCAGAGCCCTCGCGGCAGTTTGTCTGTCCTTTTGTCTGTGCTGCTGCAGCCTCTGGCTGTCCTTGTCATGTTCTGCAGAGGCAGCGTTAGGAGTCCCAGGGTCTTTTCTGTCACCGCTGCCCTGGCCACCTGTAGCCTGGCCCTGTTCTAGAAGGATGGGCTGTATTCTGTTGACAAGAAGATCCAAATGAGAGACTCTGCGCAGCTGTGTCTGAAACAGTTACAGTTGAGAACATTAAATATTCGTTTTTCAGAAATTGGAACAGATGATGACTAACTTGCAGTTATAACTAGAGTCTCGTGCATTCAGATAAACTTCTGTTCTCTTTTCAAGTGCCGTTCTCTTCTGTAATTGTTTTTATGTTTTGCCTGTTTTTTTGTTGTACTTTTAAATTCACCCTCAGCTCTTGAGTATGACAGCATTTTGCCGTCCTTGTGATTTCTCGTTCCAGGCAAGCACGCCACAAAGAGTCTGAGAGCGCTGGACGTTACTTTGAAAATTGCTGAACTATCAAATGCTAAAATCACATGTACTTAAAGGTTTTATTTCATTTTTATAATTTTGTTTGTTTGTATTTTTTTTTTTTTTACTTTTACAGTGAGTGTTGAAAAGATAGACCTGAAGGGATTATCACACAAAAAAAACGAAAGAAATGTTGAATGTTCCTTTGAGGTAAGATGCTAAGTTTTTTCCCCTTTTCTCCTGGAAGGGGTAGGAAGGACACATTACCATGAATACTTTTATTTATCTGAATAAAAGGGGCCTTTTCTCAAAGCCCTGTGCCTGTGCCGTGGGAGAAGGCAGAAAGCTGGGTTGGGCCCCGGGGGTGGGCCATCTCTGGCCTGGGGGGCAGCTCATCCCTGACCTCGGGGGTCTGTATGGTGAACGTGCCCTAGAGCGACAATCTCAGCTGCTGGTGGTCGGTCGCCTTGTTGGTTCAAGAGTAGAATCGTGAAAATTGTATTTTCACTGTGTATTAGGATCAGAGCCCCATGATAACAGGGAAGCTGTGCTCAGCGAGATCCTTCAGGGTCCAGGCTCCCTCCAGCTGACCCTTGGACACCCTGAGGATGCGGCCCTTGAGCCTCATGATCTGAGGCGGCAGCTAGGGCTCCAGTCCTCACGCTGTCCTGCCGGGCAGCAAGATGCAGGAGGAAGAGGAGGGGAAAGGGTTTTCTTTCTCTTAGAAGCACCCACTGGACACAGCCGCATATGTTTTTTTGACCAGAACTTAGTTTCTTGTTCTTGCTTAACTGCAGAAACGTGTTCTGGCCAGTCGTGTCCCCGGCATTGTTACCTGCCCATCATGCCATGCTGTGTTAAGGTTCTCCCTTGACGCCTGAATATTGATTGATAAAGGAAATCTGCTTCCAGCATTACTGGGGAGTAGTCAGAATACAAGTTTTCAGTTACTGTCTAGCATGTTATTTACACTATGTGTAGTTTACTAATTTCTGAAAGAGTGTAGATACATCAAAATGCTTTACTTTTGCCACTAAAAAGATAAAATGTTCACTTGATTTGGGAAGTACTGCATCATGAGAATCAGCTGTTAGGCTGTGGATGTGTCTTCAGAATGTGGGAGAGGTGGTTTAAAGGTGGGTTCGGAAGTGGGTTGAAAGGTGGTTTAAAGCTTGCCACTGACACCCAAGTCTCAGTGACCAGAGGCCTTGGAACCCCATTGTTCTCAGGGCCTGGTAGGGGTCAGGAGCCCAGTAGGCCCCTGGAGCCTTTGGTGTGTTGTCTGCTCCCCTCTGCTCCTCACTGTCTGATGCCCCTGAGGGGCCGGTGGTGGTCCTTGTCCGCCTCCATGGGAGCTGCCTGTTTGGGGTCTGCTGAGCATGGAGCCCCTCAGCCTGTCTGATCACACTGGGCTTTGATTTGCCCTTCAGTGCTTGGTCCCATTACTCGGGCTCCATGAGACGTGGTAACTGTGCACCATGACTGCCTGCAGCCTCTCTGTGAAGAAAGGAGCTTTGGCAAAATAGGCACTTGGCCTCTCATGGACTCTCCCGGGGGAAGGAGTTGTGGTCAGGAGGGGCAGGGGCGGCAGGCCGGCAGGGACGGAGACATGGTGCCCTGAGTCCTCAGAAAGCAAGCCCGACGACAGGAGGAGCCTGGAGCCGGCAGCCTGGAGGCTGGGTGCAGACCTGAGACCTCTGCCCTGGATGCTGCTGGCTGGTGTTGACAGACAGCTGTCACATGGAGCTAACTTAGGGCATTTCTGTCCTAAATGTTGAAGCTCAAGAGTTTTAGTGTTTAGAAAAGGCTTCAGGTATCTAAAACAGTTTTCCTGATGAGATAACCAATGAAAGTGTTCTTGTGTTTAGGGCAGTGATGGCCCTCACAGCGCTGGCTGTCCAGCAGTTGTGCTTGGGGGACGGGCTTGCTGTGCCTAAGGCACTTGCAGCGCAAACTGCATCTGCTGGACGGGGACTTGAGGCCCAAAGGAAAGACAGAACCAACTTTTTTTATAGTCTTCCTATTATGTGTAAAGCACGCTGTTCGTTTGTGCAGCATAAGCTGCGTGCTTGTTCGGTGCTGGCCAGCTGTGAGTGGCTGCCTGAAGGATGCCAGCGCGTTACCCGTGTGCTCAGATCCAGGACGCCTGTCACGTGAGAAAGGTGAAGCTGCGTGAGGGGCATGTCGCCTCTGGCATCTCGCCACGGCTGTGCTCCTAGCTGAGGAGCCACCGCTCTACAAAGGGGGGCATCTGCAGGCAGTACCAGGAGAAGATGGCTTAGCATGTCTTTAAACTTGGACTCCCCTTCAAAAATAGACCTAGGAGAAGGTGTTTGCTGTGTTGGGATCAGCTGGTTGATTCTAAAATGTGTATGGGAAGAGCAGTCAGAACCGTTTTGAAAAGCAGAGAATGCTTGGAAGACCCATGCTCCCGAACCTCAAGACTTCATACTGAGCTACAGGAACCCTGGCGCTGTGGCCTTGCCGAAAGGGTAGAGATGCTGGTCAGCAGAACAGAACAGTCTGGAATTAGTCTCACATGTAAATGGACAATTGATTTTTGACAAAGGTACAAAGACAGTTCACTGAACATCTTTCCAACAGTTGGTTCTGGAACAGACATCCCTGTCCAAAAAAACGAACCTTGACCAAAATTATTATACAGATATTAACTCAAAATTGATCATAGACCTAAATATGTATAACCTAAACCTATAAGACTTCCAGAAGAGAGAGCATAGGAAAACACTTGGTGACTGATACTAGGCAAAGATGTCTTAGGTAATGCCAAAAATATGATCCACAAAAGACAAAATAAATAAATCAGACTTCATCAAAATTTAAAACTTGCCCTTCAGAAGGCACTGTCAAGAAAATGAAAAGACAAGCCACAGATGAAAAAACACTTTGAAATTATACATCTGTTAAAGGATTTGTATTCAAAATGTATAAAGGACTTTCAAAACTCAGTAATAAGAAAACAACCCCATAAAAAATGAGCCACAGCTTTGAACAGACACTTCACCAAGGAAGATGTCTGGAAGGCAGAGCGCCTGTGAGCAGACGCTCAGCATCGCTAGTCATGAGGACACCGACCGGAACCACAGCAGATGCTACTGCATGCCTCTTGGAGTGGCCCGCAGGACAGAGGCCAGCTGCACCCAAGGTCGGCACGCACGTGGAGGTACTGGGACTCTCCCACGCTGCTGGGGGCGTGTAAGAAGGTGCAACAACTTTGGAAAACAGTTTGGCAATGTTCTAAAAAGTTAAACATTTCCCTATGACCCATCAGTTCCACTTCTAGGTATTTACCCAAAGAAGATGAGAACATGTGTTCACACAAAGGTTTGTACGTGAGCATTCCTCACAGCTCTAATCCCCAAGTATCTGTCTACATGAGATGGATAAACTGTGATGTCATACCTGTGATGTCACACCAGAGTTCAGAGTACAAAGGAGTGAGCTATGTTACAATCAGCAGTACGGATGGAACTCAGACGATCGTGCTGTGTGAAAATAAACCAGACGCCCACCAGAAAAGGGGTATATATCCAATGAGTCCTTTACATACAGTTCTAGGAAATTCAGGGTGTCTAGGGAGAGGCTGCCAGATGGCCTTGTGGGGAGAGGCAGGAGGAAGCTCCTGGGGGGACGGATAGTTCCCTTACATTGGTGAGAGTGATGGTTCGTGGGGACAGACATGCGGTGAAGCTTAGCAACTTGTACCCTTTACATGCAGCTCATCCTCAGTCATAACTCAATAGAACTTCAAGAAGTTACCTGAGTGATGATTGATTAAACCTTTGTTTTTGTCCACAGAACCGTAACTAGTGAAGATTAAATAAACTGTCCTTTAAATAGGTTGTCTTTTGTATATGGAAGTAAAGACCTGTTACACTGTGACCAGAACAGCAAACTTCACCAGGAGTTTATTGCTGACAGTGTAGAAAAACTCAAATATTTTTTCTGAAAGCCATCACTTATTCATGGAGAAATTAATGACACTCCACCAGTTTTCTCAGCCTTGTTTATTTCTAGTTTTAGTCTTTATGTATCATTGTTTTCCAGGATACGAAGGAAAGGTTACTTTTAGGAGTTGAGTTTCCTCTTCTTTTCCATGGAGTGAGTTTTGTTTTTTGCTGAGGATATTGTGACTGCAAGTTACTAGTTCCTGAGGAAATCAGATCGGTGTACAGGAAGCAAGGGGCAGAATCCTTTTAAATATAACATCAACATGGAGCTATGTACATGTGAAGTACCCAAATTTTACCAGCTCTTTCGAATTCACTGTTGAGAAACTGAGGAACTAACACTTTTATAAATAAACCTTATTCATTACACATGAAGGACAGAAAGGGGAAAAAGCCTCAGAAGACTAGGCAAACAGACCCTTGAAACACTGGTTAGATTGTAGTTTTATTGCCCCAAAAGGACTAGGGGATAATGCTAGTAGAAATGAGTTTTTAGTTCATCCTTACCAGACACTACATTAATTTTAGTGTTCTATCTTTTCTTTAAAAGTTCATTTTTTCGTGTCAGAACAATCTTAACTATTCTGAATATTTTATTGCTTTTAGCAGAGGATGGGTCTAGGATGCTATTTTTAAATTTAGCTTGTGTTCGCGTTGGTCGCTCTCGGGCAGAGTTGAGCGTCCGGGGTTCGTGGCGCTCGCTCTCCTGACGCGCATCTTGGGGCGGTGTTGTCAGGGTGCCTGTGGTAGCCATAGGGTGTGCGCTGGGCACTTTTCCCCTCAAGCAGTGATTTTCCCTGGAGTTAATGGTCTCTTTGTGTTTTGCTTAGGGACAGTACTTAGAACATGGCTTTCCCCTTGAAGTTCTCCCTGGTTGTCAGGAACTCCCCCAGTACAAGCCGTTTGTCTTTGGAGCTGCGGCTTTGCCCCACCCTGGCTCTGCGGTCTGGAACCAGACAGCTGGCTGCCATGTGGGTCCCCTTCCATCCCCGGGGGCCCTTCCTCCCTCTGGCCCCGTCCTGTTTTCAGGTCTTATGTCATCTTCTGCCCTGGGTGGGTCCTGCTCGTTTCTCAGAAAGCGTCCTTGGGAGGCACAGGTTTTGAGAGCTTTCATTTCTGGGAATCTTTCTGTCATGTCTTGATCTTTCAACCCTGACCTGGCACAGGTCTAGCTTGGACGTCACTTTTCCTTAGGACTTTGAGAGCGCTGCTCCTTTACTGCCTGGCGGCATTGCTGGGGAGAAGCATGATCTTTTGGACCCTGACTTGTCCCATGCCCTATTTTACCGTTGCTGGCAGTTTTTAGGCCTCTGATAGTCTCAGTGTTTGCACATTTCTCAGAGGTGGAGGTGTGTTTGGAGTAGTGTTGCTGTCACCAGGGTCCTGGGACTCGGGGGCCCTCAATCTCAAAACTCGTGTCCCTTTGGGGCCTGGTCTTGAACCCTCCCTTCGCCTTCCTCCTCTCCGTGCTCCCCGGCATCCTTATTTCGGAACTCCGGCTTCTGCATATCAGCCCTCAAGACTGGTCCTGCATTCGCTGTTTCTGTGTTCTCCCTTGGATGTTTCGGCCCACTTCGTGGAAGACTACCTCACCTTCCGTCTCTTCAAGGGAGCGCCTCCCTCCGCCTTGCCTCCGGCCTCTGCGCGTGCGCCTCCTGCTGCCCTTTCTCGCAGTGGCCTGGTCTCAGCAGTGCGCTCGTCTCTTGTTCACTGAGAGCAGCAGTGATACTCTTTAGTTTGGGCGCAGCTTGCTTCTCCTGCATGGCCTGTGCTTCCCACGGGTTGCCTCCTTCCGTGCCTGCCCTTCCTGTGTCCGTGCTGGCTCTGGCAGTCCTCCGAGGCTGGGGGTCGGTCGGTGACTTTAGTGTGTGGCATACGCAGCGGGCGGGGGCCTCTGGCTGGCCTGTTCTCCTGTGCAGAAGGAGGACCACGCTGCTGTGTGAGCTGCGGAGTGCAGTCCTGTGGAGATGCAGCTGAGGGGCACGTCAGAGGGCTGAGGCCCTGGTGTGTCATTCCCCCCCGCGTGCGTCTGCTTTGTGTAGGCTTGCTTCTTGTGTATGCTTCAGACGTGTCGGAGTCTGTCTCAGCAGGGCTCGCCGGCTCTCTGAGTGAGGACGCACAGTAGGAAGTACTGTGCCATCACCCAGCGGGCCGTGTCTCCTCCCGGGGCATGTGAGGCCGGGGGAGCTCATGCTCAGCGCCCTCTTGGATTTGATGGGAAGTGTCTCTCTCCAGCATGTGGCCTGATGGAGGCCATCCCCCCACGTCTACACCCCTCCTGGGGCCTGTCCCCTCCTCTGGTCTGAGGGAGCCGTTCGGCGGGCAAATCGGAGTGGCATGAGCGCAGCCTGTGGTGAGCGAGCTCTTGGTTTCCAGTCCTTGTTTTCTGTCTGCCATAGGCTGAAATAGCAACTGCTTTGCCAAAAAAAAAAAAGCAGGAGCAGACAGCCTGAGGTGGCCTGCACCTACTTACCATGCATCCCGATTGGGGAAGTAGACCGTCTGTGTGCAGAATGGTCTCCCAAGGTGCGCTGTGCAGGGGCCGGAGTCCGTGTTTAGCTAGCTCGGTGCGGCCATGGCACCTCAGGGTGGAAGGGGCGCAAGAAGAGACCCAGACCGGAAGCAGTTCTGTGTCGTGGGCAGGAAAAGTGGGGAGAGCCGCGCTCCACAGCACAGGTTCTTGGAGACACAAGATGCCCACAGTACTTCCGGGCACATATTTGTGACTGGGAAGTTCTTGCCTTTAATCATAGATGTTGCTGATATTCTGTGTGGTAGCACTTGCTCTTGGGAAACTTTTTAGCGTCACAGCATTTGATTAGGTTTTGGACAGCAAGGGACGTCTGTTCAGGGAGTGCCATGGCCTGCCTGCTGGCGTTCCAGGAAGCCCTGGGACCTCAGGACGAAGAAGGCATCCCTTGTCTCCATGAGCTTGTATTCTGTGGGGACTTGATGAAGCAGACGCCTTAGCGGTTGTGCCGTGTGACAGCTGCTGAGCTGGAAAGGGACTGGTTTGCATCCAGCACACGAGGGGCAGGCGGCTGACCCTCCAGGCCCAGGCGGCCATCTGCGAACACGACGGGCTGCCTCTCAGGAGATGAGGGGGGGTGCGGGGATGGAGAGGGTTGTTGTCTCCCCAGTCTGCATTACATTAGTATCATACTTTCTTTTTTGGTAATAAGATTCATTTGGTCATTTTATTTCCTGACTTGAAATCCTCCGGTGGCTTCTTCTGGATTTTTGAGGAAAGTTCCAGTTCCATGGTTCAGCCCTTCTCGCTGTGGCTCCTGCCTCCTTCCCGTCTCCTCCTGTCCCCCTGCGGCTCATTCTTCCAGCGGGCCTCTTATTCGCCTTTCTGAGTTCAGCTCATTCAGCTCACACTTTTCTTGGGGCAGAAGAGCCCTCTGATGTGCTATGCCCGGCTCCTCCCCCTCGCGTCAGCCCCTCGGGTGGCCAGTGTTGGGTAAGTGCGGGGGAAGGCTGCGGAAGGACACAGCCCTACACCAGGGGCTCCCAGTCCACCTGGGGTCACCGACATTCATGACGTCATGAAGTGAAACCACCCTGTCCTGTGTGCAGGTGAGGAAGACCAGGCGTGTGCCCAGGTCTGCATCACACTGTAGAACTTCTTCCAGAAAGCCCTTTCTGTGCCTTCTCACCAAGTTCTTCCTGCTGCCCACCCCCGCTCTGATGGAAGGCCACCTCTGCTGTTCTTGGACTGGCCACTTGCCTGTTGTCCCAGATATGCCCCCTGTGCAGCCCCCAGCTGTCCTGAGGGCCAGGCCCTGTCTCAGTTTTCAGTGTGTCCATGGCATCTGACGCCTGAGCACTGGCTGCTTAGGTGAATGGGCTGGTTTCTGGTAACTTCTGAATGCTGAGTCCAGATCCTATAGATTGACCCAAGAAGAGGGGCCCCCCCCCTTGAGGGTATGCAGGTGCACCTCTAAGCAATCGGCTGCTTTCTAGAACTCAGGAGCAGCCTTAGACACCATGTTCCATGATGGAGTGGTTTGGTGATATTTGAACAATTGTGCAATGCAGGACATTAAGCTTTAATGGGCTGGAGTTACGTGATGTTTTCTGTAACGAGTCAAGGGATGCGTAAAAGCGCCATTCACCAGATGTGCAGTTCTCCGTAGCTCGTTGTGCCCACCACACCTGTGCCAGCCAAGGGGTCCTGGACAGGTGTGCTGTGAACTAAGTATGTGGTGTCTTGTTTTTAAGGTTTGTTTGTTTATTTGTTTTTAAGGTCTTGTGGTCTGATTCTTCAATAACATCAGTAACCAAATCTTCCTCTGAAGTGACTGAATTTATTTCAAAGGTAAGGTGATCAGGGGCTCTTACAGAAATTAAAAGGCTGCCCTCCCCCAGTGGGTGCCTGCTTCCGTCCACCAGCATGGTGAGCGGTGCCAGCAAGCACGCCTTTGCATGGCAGCGGCAAGGCGCGCACGACAGTGAGCACGCAGCCCTCGGAGCCGTGCCCCGTGCTCCTTGTGGCCGTGAGAACGAGTGAGGCAGAGGCCGGAGCTGCACGCACAGCTGAGGGGCGTTTGGCTCTTTTCCTCTTCTGCAGAGGCTGAGGGGGAGGGGCACACACGGGGCTCAGAGGTCACCTTGGTTCACCTCTTAAACGAATTCAACAAATAATCATTTGAACAAAAGGTTCCACTAGTACAAGTTCCACTAGCAAAATGGTTCCACTTTGTTACCTGCACACACATGTACATGCACACATATGTGCATAGCTGTGTATTCAAGGCCCACTGGCCTGTGCCATGACACTGAACCTCCATCTTAGTCAAAGGGATGCATCTCAAGTCACCTTTGTCTTATGGAATCGTATGTCTGAAGTGTCTCCAAAGTGAGTCTAACATTTCTATGACAGAATCAAGCACACAGTCTAGTAGGAGAGCGTCCAGGGGAGGGATCAAAGGCTTGGGCAGAGCTGCTTGGTCTCGCCCACCCTTCTGGCCCGTTAGGCGGAAGCACAGCAGTGCCATGCTGTACAGGGTCACGGACCCTCCCCAGGGAAGGCATGCCTTCCTCTGGAACATTGAGAACACTAAGTTTCCTCTCCTTTATGTCTCTTGGTTTGTAAAAAAGCACTTTATCTGGGCTCCACCGATGCTGATGGGAACCTTGACCTCGCATTGACCTTTTGTGTAGGTGTTTACTGTGGCTAATATTCACCTGGCTTTGGGTTCTGACCTTCCTGGGTATCTGTCTTTTGTTAATTTTGGAAAATTCTTGTTCATTATCTCTACAAATACTTCTTCTGCACCACACCTCATCTCTCCTGCCGAGGCTTCAGTCACCTGCACTCGGACCTTTGATGGCAGCCACGGCTGTTAGGCGCTCATTTTGATCGTCCCACTCTTTTCGCTCTGTGCCTCAACTCGGATGATCTCTATTTTGCTCTGCCTTCAAGTTCACTGATGTTTTCCCTCAGCTCTGCTCAGCTGCTGATGAGCCTGTTGAGTTTGCTGAGTCCCTCATCTCTGGTGGTTTTTGGATTTTCCAAGCTTTTCCATTTGACGTATCTTATTACAAAGTTTCCACCTCTCTGCTGAAATCCCCCCATTTGTTTGTTCATGTTGTCCATTTTTTAAAAACTAGATCCTTTATATGTTAGTCGTAGTTTTTCTTGAAGTTGCTGTCTGACAGTTCCAACATCTGGTGATTTCCTTGTCTGATTTTGATGATTATCTTGACAATAGTTTTCTGTGCCTCCTTATTTATTTATTTTATTAATTTAATGTATTGGTGTCTTGCTATTTTTGATTGAATGTTACACATCATGACGAGAAACTTCAGAGACTGAGGGAAACAGTATGTGTGCCTGGAAATGGGCACGCTGCTGCTGTGGGGGCCGCTGGGGACCTTGAGGTGGTCCATTCCGGAGTTGGGCTGGGCCCGGGTCCTGCCCCGTGGGTACTGGCAGTGCGCCTCAGGCGTCAGGTCCCTCCAGCAGAGGGCAGCTGCTGCCTGGAGCCTCAGGTGGGCTGGGGCATCGGACGTCCTCCTTGCTGGCCTTGCTCACCCTCAGCATCCTGTGTGTGCATGGCGCAGACACTGCGGGCCCCTCACCCTCGGGAGACTGCTGTTCCTGCTGCCTGGTGCAGACTTGGGGGCTTATAGCCTCGGTCCCAGCACAGGGCCCTGGTGGCGCTCTCTCCGCACCCCGGCCCCCCTCCCCCTGCAGCGGCCGGCCTCCGTCTGTACTGGTGGAGGAGCCTCAGCCCAGAAGGGCTTCTTCTAAAGGGCCAGAGGGGTTTGCTTTTCCCTTCCCCCGGAAGTAGGGTCTCCTTGCCCACGGCCTGGTGCCAAGGCTTCTTACCCCCCACCAGAGGTAGGAAAGCATAGCTTCTGCCTCAGCCCAGGACCGTAGGAACTTGGCTTGGGCCCTGGCAGCAGAAGCCATCCTGTCCCTCTCTCTGAGGCTCGGCGTGCCTGGGACTGAGAGAAGGCTCCAGGAGAGGGCACAGGGCTCCCTGTCCGGCCCCAGGGGCAGCCAGCCCACACCTGTGCCGTCTGTTTGGGCCCTCCTACTTCCTGTCCGTGGGAGAGAGTGGGACCGAAGCACAGCTCCATGTCTGGGCTCCTGGCCCATACTCAGCCTGTGGGACTGTGTCCATCTCAGCTGAGCTCTTTCCCTACTTGTATGGCAGCCACCTCTTCCTTGTGCTCTGCCCCCGCTGAGACAGTCCATGTGTCCTGTCTGTCCGTAGAGGGGTAGATCCCTCTTGAGATTCAGCTCACGTGGTGGCCTTGTAGCTCAGCTCCCAGTGGACACCAGGACAGGTCCCGTGATGCAGTCGTTGGCCTTGACATGAAGGTGGGTGTGTGATGTCCTCCTGTGGCTGTCTGCATCCTCGGGCCCGCAGGACCCAGTAGCTGTAAGGATGGTGTGTCGGGTCCGAGCAGCAGCTGTCACCGCATAGTACCTGCCCAGGCTGTCTGGAGGCCGAGGCGCTGAGGTCACGTGATGTGCGTCAGGACACACTTGCTGGGCTTTTTCATCTCTTTCAGTTATCCCAGCTATACCCTGAAGAGAATTTGGAGAAATTCATTCCTTGCTTAGCTGGCCCAGATTCATTTTACATGGAACGAAACCACCTGGATCTGGAAGCGGACCTGAGGTAATGCCCACCACCCCACTAGGCCCCTGGGTGTCGCTGTTAGTAATGGCGATGGCGACGGGCGCAGGCCTGCAGGTGCAGACACTGCCTGCTCCTCCTTTGCGCTCCTGCGGTGATGGTCTGGTCTCTGCTCTGCCTGCATCGGGCTTGATTCATACAGTGTGTTGCAGTGTAAATGGGGAGGGTCCAGGGGAAAGTGTGACACACAGCAAGAATCATGCTGAACCAAAGCAGGGGGTAGAGGCTTGTGCCCTTCTCTGGCACACATTTCTCCTGATGGAGGTTAAAGCCCCCTCCAGTCTTCGGCCTGCCGTCTCAGTGCTGATGGAAACCCTTTGCTCAACTTTCAGGTACTTGGCTGTGCTGCCTCCCCACATACTGAGAAACGACCATGTGAAGAAGTTTTTCAGCACTTCACCTCCCACCCAACAGCTTCAAAGTCCAAGTGAGTTTGTGAGACATGATTAAATAAGAACACAACATGCTCACTGTCTGTAGTTTTTATAATACATATTTTACCTTGCAGGTCCTGGCAACCCTGCCCTTTCCAAAGTGGGCACCGTGACGGGCATGTCTGGAAGGTGAGGTGCCACTGGATAGTCAAGATGCTCGGGCTCTTCTGACTGTGAAGATAACTGTCTGTAGGGTGACGTCCTTCTCCATCTTAGTCCTGAATAGTAGTGAGAGAGGAATTGCATAGAGATGATTCAATGTATGATTTCTCAAAAAAAAAAAAAATGCGTCCTCTGAGCCCCTGGAATTGGAATCCCCAAAGATGCCTGTTGCGAATGCTAGTTTCGGGGCACAGCATGCTCCAGGAAAGCAGGATGCTGAATGTCTCCATTTTCTCGAGCTCCTGGGGGTGATGATGCCGCGAGGTGCCAGAGCCAGTGCTTGGGGCCTGTCAGCGGGAGGCCCAACGCTGGTGCTCATAGTGATAGGCGGCCGGCAGGCTGTCTGCCTGGACAGCAGCTGGCAGGCAGTGCGCTGGCATCACAGACACACACAGACGATTGTGTGAAGCCCCAGTCCAGTGTGAGGTCTTGGAAAGTGCAGATTTTCTGCGCCCTTGGCCTGGTGCGTAGGGAGCCCGTGTGAATGCCTGTGGGTTGCAGTTTCTGCTGGCGCGGGCAGGGACTGGAGTTTTTGCTCCTTCCAGCCTTCTAGGACTTACTTAAAAAAAAAATCGAATATTAAGGATTTAGGAGTCTTAATTTATGATTATCAGTATCATCTTGTAATAGAAGTCACTTGGCAGTCCAGTCAGAAGTCCAGTGGTGACACACACACATATACACGCATACAAGTAGACAAATGTACTCTCAAGTTCTTACACAGAAATGCATGTATACACATGCACACCCACTCCCCACATTATTCAGTGGTAACCTAGGCGCTGTCACATATGTGTCCACTGCTGTAGATGTGGGCCTAAAGGGTGGGTGCGGCACGGTGGGGAGGCGCAGGAGCTGGAGCGGGCTGCGGTGGGACCACGGACATGATCTCAGATGCAGCCCGGGCGTGAGAGCTGCCTAGTGCACAGAGGGGTCCTCAGTGCTGGTTGGGCTTTTGAAAACCCCTGTCTGCTGTCCTCGCAGGCCCGTGTGTGGAGTGGCCGGCATCCCATCGTCTCAGGGCAGTGCCCAGCACCACATGCAGCACTCGGCCAGTGCAGCTGCCTTGCCCCACTGCTCCCATGCAGGAGGTGCGGGCTCAGCGCTGGCCTACCGCGCTCAGATGGACTCCTCGCCTGCCATCTTGATGCCTTCTGGTCTGCAGAGCCCTCCCACCCAGGAGCAGAATGGGATTTTAGACTGGCTTCGGAAATTGCGGCTGCACAAGTACTACCCTGTCTTCAAACAGCTCACAATGGAGAAGGTGTATTGGGTTCCAAGCTATGTGTTACCCCTTATTTTTGTGGGTAACCTCTTTTTTCTGACCTCAGTCCTAGAAATGAGTTGGGTTTCTAAGCCATATGGATGTGAAAAGCACACAGCCTAGACTTGGATGCCAGCTGATGTGTGCCGAGTCCCGCCTGCCCCCAGACGCGGCCGTGGGCTTGGGACTCAAGACTGCCTGCAGCTGGGGCAAAACTGAAACAGGGCTGATCGTATGAAGGAGCTTTTAGATAGCTTGGGGTCTTTACATATCAGGGAGTCTGTGTGACATGGAGGATGCCTGTCTCCAGCCGCCCTGTGATAGGCGGAAATCGTGAATCGTGGCACCTGCGCGGCCTCCTAGACGCCCTCCTGTGCAGGCCTGCGCGGGCGCCGAAGCTCAGTGCAGAAGGACCGGATTGGTTTGAGCCGAGCAACCAGCTCTCTATTGATCTGGCTTGATTTAGGGTCATGTAGCTAAAGGAGTGGGTCAGTTTTATGTCTTTTGGGGAGTCCTACATATGTGTTATTCTTCACAGCAGATTTTGGTGAGGAACATTTTTTTCATTCTTAAGAAAATTTCTGAAATTTCATATATCTTGTTAAGACTGATGAAACTAAAGCAGGCGTGTGCAGTGTCTGGGCTCAGAACACCCTCTGCTGGATGAAATGACGTGGTGGCTTTTATCCATGTGAAATTCCCTTTGTCAGGAAACTGCAATAGAACCTAGAAATCAAAGCTTTTACTATTGTAATAAAAAACAAATTTTAAGCATTTTGTTATATGTTTGGTTTAGGATTCATAAACCTTAAAAACAACAGACATTACTGATCGTGATCAGTTTTAAAAGTTTTAATCTAATGTCTGAGTTGAAACGCCTAAAATTGCAAAGCACGTTAAGGGCCGTCATGAGAATCGGTGTGTGGGCTGGACAGCCATTCGGCTCCGGTAGCGTCTCCTTTTCTTGAGTCACTTGCTACCCAAGAAAGTGACTGCTGTTCCTAAAATGATGGTGATTCTGAGAAAACAGTTGGTAAACACAGATTAACGTCTTGCATTTGAGAGGCGTGCCCAGGGAAGGAGGGGGCGCTTGTGCAAATGGCATTTTCTTGAGGCACCAGCTGCAGAGTACGGCCCTCCAGGTGCTCGGCCTTCCTGAGCTGTCACTCAGGCACCTGGGCAGGAGGCACCGGGGACAGGCCTGTGACCCTTAGGTGCAAAATGAGTATCTTGTCTCGTGAAGCCATTTAGCGAGTGAGTGGGCAGTGTTTCTAAGTCTTTTATTACCTGATTGTTTGGTCTGTTTGCATGTCCTGAAGGTAGAATAAGTTACTAAATTAAAGTCGAAATTATTTGCTTTAGGATCCTAGTTAATTCTCATAACTCTGTAATTTGTTTCTTCTATGGAAGTTTCTGAGCCTTACAGAAGAAGATCTGAATAAATTTGAATCCCTCACCATGGGAGCAAAGAAAAAACTCAAGACACAGCTGGAGCTGGAGAAGTAAGTGTGACCTGGTTTGGGAGATGTGTGCTTGTTTGAGGTTCCAACATTATGGTCAGGGGCTGGGACTGAGCTTTGTTTAAACATGAGTAAGGCATTATGTCTAGCATTGCTTATCAAACCTTAGTTAATTTTAATATTCTGCAAATGTGGCTCTGGTTTGCTAGGAAAGGCCCTTTTTAGTGGCTCTGACAGAATGTATTGTTTCTACCCCAGAGAGTGTTTGGATGGAGATCCCCTTTGGGTGGACATTCATACTGAGGCAAGGTTTGGGGTATTAGAAGGTCCCTCAGTGGCAGAGTGGGGCACTCCTTTGTTTACGTGTTTTTTTGCTGCACAGGGAGAAGTCGGAGAAACGGTGCCTGAACCCCTCAGGCCCGCCCCCGGCTACCGGCAGCGGGGTGGCCCGTGTGCCCCCAACGAGCCATGTGCAGCCCGTGCGAGGCAACCACGCTGCAGGTGAGTGAGGGTCGGGCTTGTGTGGGCCCGTGCACTGTGGCCGGCTCCTCCTGATGTCACTAGGCTGCAGAGCACACCCTTTTCCATTGACATCTTTAGTATTTACAATTACTCCTCATTATTTTAGCTTTTACAGTTTCTGTGATGAATGGAAGGGCATTTGTTAGGAGCTGGTGGCCTCTGCAGGTGTTGGGGCAAAAGTGTTAGACCCAGAAACCGCTCTGGTGACGGGGACGCATAGGAAGCACACGTCGGATGGGGGCCAGTGGCCTTGCAAGGGGCACTGCCCAGAAGCCATCTGGAGGCACCGTGTGGGCCTGAGCCTGCTGCCAACCCCCATGGCCTGAGTCCCCGCTGCCACCCTCCCCTTCCCCTTGCCCTCTCCTGCTCCTCAGGGAAAGTCTGAGGATGCCTGTAATGGTTCTGTTGTTTTTTATACAGTAGAAATGTCAAGAAACCAGGAAGAAGAAAAAGCCAGTGTATCTTTTAAGTAGTTATTTGATTTAAAAGACTTTGTGTCCCTCAGTGTATGTGGATGTGGCTTCTGGGAGCCCTTGCTTCCTGCCTCCAATTCTGAACAGGGGGTGGCAAGTGGCATCTGGCTGAGGGCAGTGTGCGCGTCTGCTGCTAAACTGGCCATCTGGCTTGGGGCAGCTTGTTTTTGTACGGGTCCCAGAGCCCTGTCTGGATTGGGGTAACAGCTCCTGCCGCCATGGGTGGGTGTAAGGGAGTCAGTGCAATAGACGTGCACGGAGGCAGGCGAGGTGGGCTCAGGTGCTGGCCAGCGCGACCCCCTGGCACGTGGACTCTGGCGCCTGTTTCGGACGGTCACCACCCCTTTCCCACAGCGCTGCGGGTGGAAGTGGAGCAGCCCCCTCACCAGACAGCTCGGGAAGGCAGCTCCTCAGAGTGCTCCAGCTCCTCGCCCAGCCCAATGGGGGTGCCGGCCCGGGAGGAGAGCTCGGACAGCGCCGAGGAGAGTGACAGACGTAAGGGCTCCCAGCGGCTCGCGCTGCCCGCCATGCCCACCTGCGCCAGCCGCTGTGCTGACACGCTGTCTCCACCCCCAGGTGTGGAGGTGCACGTAGAGGGCTCCGAGAAGGAGAAGCCCGTGATGCTTCTCAGTCACTTCCCCTCAAGCTCGGCCAGGCCCACGGCCCAGGTCCTCCCTGTGCAGAACGAGGCAGGCTCCAGCCCCGCGGGCCCGCGCGCCCTGCCCCCACAGCTGCTGCCCGCAGCCTCACACGTGGCGCCCATCCGGGTGCTCAGTGCCGTGCACAAGTCCGACCGGGGCGGTGCAGACGTGCCGCTCCTCCCGCCCTCTGTGCGTTCACTGCTGTCCCTGGACGACAGGGGAAAAGGCTCCGGGCCCAGGAGCAGCCTCAAGGTGGACAAGAGCTTTGGCAACGCCGTGATGGATGTGCTGCCAGTGAGCGCACCGCACCAGCCCCTGCAGGTCCTCCCGGGGCTCGCTGAGGGCAGCCCCGTGTCGCCCGCCGTCTCCTTTGGTCCCCGGGCCAAAGTTGTTCCCGCATCCGCGCTGGACCGGGTGATGAAGCCGGCCCAGCCGCCGGCCTTGGTGGAGACCAGCAGTGCCACCTCGGGGTCCCCGAGCACGGTCTTCCACGTGGCCCGGCCACCCATCAAGCTGCTGGTGTCTTCATCTGTCCCTGTGGATTCTGCCATTTCTGGGCAAACTTCCTGCTCCAGCAGCGTGCACATGAGCGTGGCCCCTGCCATAGTCACGCCGCGGACGGCTCTGTATGCAGCCAGCACCACAGCTGCCTTCTCTGCGATGGGCGGTGTGCCCGTGGGCCCCCTGCCGGGCAGCTTCTGTGCAAACAGCAACACTGCCGCCTCCAGCGGCCACCCCTCCACGTCCTTCGCCAGCATGGCCCCTGTGCCCAGCTGCCCGGCTCCCAGCTCCAGCCCCGCGCTCTCCTCGGTCCCCGAAAGCAGCTTCTACAACGGGGGTGGTGGCGGCTCCCCGGGGGCCGCCCCTGCCCCGAGCCACCACCACCACCACCACCACCCGCAGCCTCCTGCCCCGCCGCCCGCACCCCCACCCGGCTGCGTCGTGTGCACCTCGTGCGGCTGCAGCGGGAGCTGCGGCTCGGGCGGCCTGACCGTCAGCTACGCCAACTACTTCCAGCACCCGTTCTCGGGCCCGTCCGTCTTCCCCTTTCCCTTCCTGCCCTTCAGCCCGGTGTGCGGCAGCGGCTACGTGGGCGCCCAGCAGTACGGCGGCGCCTTCCCGCTGGTGCACGCGCCCTACGGCGGCGGCGTGGGCCCCGAGCCTGTGCTGGGCGGCCAGTCGGCCTTCGCTGTGCCGCCCGTGCAGGGCTTCATGGCGGGCGCGGCTGGCGTGTACCAGGCCCAGGGGCTGGTGGGCAGCGGTTCTGGCCACAAGAAGGGTGGGAATCTCTCGTGCTACAACTGCGGGGCCACCGGCCACCGCGCTCAGGACTGCAAGCAGCCGTCCATGGACTTCAACCGGCAAGGTAATAGCGGCTCCGGGGCTCCCAGGTGGGCCGGGCTGTGTCGGCCGGCAGGGCAGCTGCCTGGAGGAGGAATAGGCATGGAGGTGTCCTTTTCGTGACGATTATAGTAAATTGTCTTTTCAAAGCAAAAAGTAATTTTTTGAATGCTCTGTGAGTGCAGTCCCTGAAAGCCTGTTACTCTGGCTCTCGGGCTGCCCCCCGCTCCTCCTGGTCCAGACGGGACCGGCTGGCTGCAGGCGCTGAGGGCTGCCCGGGCCCCCCAGGTCTGGTAGGTCTTGCCTCGTGGCCATGACCAGGGGTGCGAGTGCGCAGGTGGTCTGCGCCAGCCCTGGGGCTCGGCTGACAGCCTTGGGCCTGGCATTCTGCCCCTCCCGGGGCCGAGGCTGTGTGAGGCCATGGCGCACAGGGTGGCACCTCCTCGCTCCCCCATTTCCCATTCACTCTTTTTTGGTCTCCTTTCATCAAACTCAAGTGTGCGTCTGGTGTGGTCGTCACAAGGACTCGTTCTTGCTGTTCGTCTTGTGAGAAGAGTGATCTGGGCATTGGGAACGTGGTCGCAGCTCTGTGCTTATCCCCGGGCAGCCTTCAGAGGCCACTTGGTCACCATAGACTTGTGAGGGTTGCTTCAGACCCACCCAAGCACCCGAGTTCCCCCAGAGTGCTTTAAAGAAAAAGCAGTTGGACTCAGTAGGTCTGGTGGCGGGTGGGGAGCCTGTGGGCTGTGGCCGCCACTGTTGATGGAGCCAGTGCTGCATCCTCTGCAGCGAGCCCAGAGCCTGTGGGGGTGGCGAGGCTCCTCAGTCCCGGTTCCCGGAAAGGTGCCCAGCTGGCACTGTCTGACTCCTGAAGCATGAGAGACGGGTGGAGGCCATTGCACCCCTCAGTCTGAGCCGATAAGCCCATCGAATAGCGGTGGGTAGCTGGGAGCAGTTAGAACAGGTGGTCTGGGTTTCCAGCACCTGAACCCTGACCAGTGGCTCTGGAAAGAGCTTTGGACAGAGGGATCGTGGTAATTCTAGTGATTCAAATCCGGTTTCTTTTCTTCCCCCTCTCTAGGTACTTTCAGGTTGAAATATGCCCCTCCAGCAGAAAGTCTCGACTCCACAGACTGACGCTTCTCACTGGCAATGGAACCCATTAAGCCATGGAGACATAAGGACACCTAAACGCAGAACTGAGAAGTCTAGTTGCTGTTGAGCTTAATATTTTAATCCAAAGGTGCTTTACTTTACTAGACTGGATAGAACGTCTAGCGTAGGAGTGCATCCAACTCAGTTTTATTGCCAAAATCCCAGATTGGAGCTTGATGTCAGGACTTGCCTAGTGGGTCCCTGCGCCCGTGGCTGCCACGCGGAGACCTCCCTCCCGTCTCCTCAAGAGCATCGCGTCACCGGGCCTTCTAGGCGCACAAGTAATTCCAGGGCAGCTACATGAGCTCGGAACCGAAGACTGCAGGTTGGAGTTCTCTGAGTGGAGTTCCACCGGTCGGACTTGACATCCCTGGGTGAGGGAAGATGTCACCTTCGTTCTGTTTGTTCTGTTCTGTTTTTTGTTCCTAATGTGGTTAGGCACTAATCTCTGGGCTTTTTAAGGATTGCACTACAGAAGAATGTAAACTGATGTCAATCTCTGCAGCTCTGGGGGCAAGCTCCCTGAGAGACCAGGCAGCGCGAGGCTCCCGAGCACCTGCTCTCACAGAGCCGGCACCAGCAGGCCGCGCGGCTCGGCGCACAGCGATGTGAGCATCGCCCTCCCTCCTCCAGACACTCGTAGCCGGTTCAGGTTTTTAATTTCTTCTGCAAATAAATCTAAACTACATTATTAAATAGAGATAGTTACTCACAACAAGGGTCCAAGTCCCAGAGAATCCCTGCTGTCCGCGCGTTGAGAACGCCTTCCTTCCCAGCTCTCCAGTAGCCTGGGGGGCTGTTCCCTGCCAGACGCCGGAGCTCCTGTGGGGACACTGTGACAGCGTGGCCTTTGCGAGCTGGCTCTGCCTGGATGCTCCCTGTCCTGAGCAAAAGTCGCAGTTCTTGTATCCCACACGGACTTGGCACGGGCCACAAGGCGCGCTGCTGATGGTTCACACTCGAGACGGACATTCCAACAGTGACACGGCCCTCAGAGTTTGCTCTGATGAGCGAAAGATTTGAAATCCTCTCCATCAGCTTCTTTTGTATTAGGCCATGTTTTAATAGTTCTGTTGAAAATTACCTGGAAAACTACAGTAGGAAGTGGCAAGACTCTGAGAGGCCACACGGCCCGCTTCTGTCATGGTGGGGGGGTCGAGCCCCGGCCGCGCCCTCAGTTTCGGTCCCATCGCGACAGAAGCCTTTGTCTAGGCCTGAAATCTAGAGACTTAACATCTTCAAGGTCAATGGGAATTTTCTGCTCATTTTAAATGCTAAAGCCTTTAGTATTAAAATATCGATTGGTAAGTCCTTGCCCAGGGATTTTCCAGTTGAATATTTATTTAAAAAAGGAAAATCACAATATTCAGAGCATTCTTAAAATGGGACAATCCACCTCATGCAAAGTTGGTGTAAATTAAAAGAATACCCTAGAATTTGAGGCAGTGTGATGTGAGGCTTCAAATCGGGATGGAACCACAGCAGAGAAAACGAAAGGCTTGTGGAAGAGGCTCATCCAGCGGGGCTTTATTTCTATGCAACTCGGGATTGACAGGCCTCTGTGCTCTGACCTGCCCTCCTGCGCGCAGTATTCCGCATGGTTCCGAAGTGAAGGTGATCCTACAGCAGCTCTTCCGGGGGTCCCTTGATCACTCCCGTTACAGATGCCACAGGAACGGGAGCCGACACAGCTTTGCCTTAAAGAGCACTAGACTGGGACTTGTGTTATTTTCAAGGAAGACATAGGGTGTTCGTTGATGTTTACGATTTTACTATTTCTGAAGGCCTTTACGGTGGCCTGGATATGTGCTGAGAGCCAAACTTTTCAATTTTTTGGTTTTTTTAAACAAAGAAATATTTTAAATAAATCCTATTTCAACACAGTGGAATTGTTGAAAACTGTCTCATAACAAAAGAAAAAAATCATACTTAGGTTTTTTGTTGTAGTGGTCAATATTGGGAATGAAGGTGTCTGTTGTTATAACTGTTTTGGTAAATACTAGACATTTGTGTTAAATGCAAAATTAAACTTTGATTTCAAGTATGACATTCGAACTGAGGTAAATAAGTTTAGACGTTGTATGGCTGTTTCAGGCATCAAAGGTCTTAGGAAAATTCCCGTGGTCTTTGAAGGTCTGTGCCACGTGACACCTCCGGGGAGGCCGCTCCCAGCTGAGAACTGCAGGACGTAGGTAGGACGCACAAGCACACAAGTCGTTCAGCTGCCGGCCCGTGCGGCATGGCCCCAGTGACTCCCACGTGGATTCAAAGTACTTGCTGGAGGTGGTACCTCTGGAGTTTCCCTGCAAAGCGGCCAGGCAGGAAGCCTGAAGAGCACGTGGAGGTCCTCAGAAGACGTCCTCAGGATGCCCCGGGCTGGCCTTTCCGTTCAGCCGGCCGTGGCCGTGAGGTCGTGGGCTCAGTTTGCAGTGCTGTGGTGACCAGGTAGGTGTGGCTGCAGCCACTCTGTGCGTCTGTCAGGAGTTTCTGACCTTGTTTATCTCCAGGAGTGGGAAACATGGGGTGTACAAATCCAAGTAGGATCCACTGTTGGGAGAAAACTAGCTCATATTCTTTGTTTTTTAAGAAAAACACTCAATTTTCTACCTTCCTGATTTTTACTTCATAGTCATATTGAAAACTACAGTGTTTAATAAAAGTTAAGACTTCATTGATAAAGAGCACTGAGGAAATGGGGGCGAGCACTTAAAGTGAGGACAGAATTATTTTCCTGAAGGCAGATATGTGAGTATTAAAGAAAAACCAGCATCTCTCATCTCCAAGACTCCGGGAGTCGGCGTGTTGGCGCGTGAGTGAGCAGGCTCCGGGTGTCGCCCGCTAGAGGCCCGGGCCCCTTGCACCCTGCCCCTGTGGCAGCCCGCGGGTGCCTTGCCAGCCTGATGACACACTGACGACGGGTGGCGGCCTGTGCTGAGGTGTCTCACAGGCTGTACGGGGAGCCGCGTGCCTGCCCGGCCTGACCACCTGTCCCAGCGGGTGAGCCTTTGGGGCCCCAGCAGCCGCTGTCGTCCTTCCTGGGGTGTGGGTGATGCCCATGGAGCCGTGACACGGGTTCCGAAGGCTCAGGCACCGAGAGGTCCCAAGGTTCTGGATGAAAGCGATCTTTAATCAACACTCACGAAACTAGTACCTTGCTGACTGAGGCCGAGGGTCACGGCTCCCGCACCGTCTGGAGGGGCCGTCGGCAGCCCGGTGCTGTGAGCAGCTGTCATGCTGACGCCCTTCCGTGCACCGTGGCCTTGGTACCGACACTGACGACCTCGTGAACTCGAGAATCTTCACAGCTTCTACTGGACATGTTTTCTTTATAGGAATGAAGGAAAATTCTCCCATTTTTGAGCCATTCTTTTATGTCAGTTCTACAGAATTGCATGTAACTTTATAAATATTTTTAAAAGATATAGTTTTGTAAATATTTAATATTCTGCTAATTTGATTTTGAATTGTAAATGTCAAGTATTCTGTTTTTGGGGTTTTTATGTTTTATTATACTTTGTTAAAAAGGAAAAATTGTACATTTTTAGAATGTTTTTATGAGTAAAATTTAATGTACTGAAAATAAAAAAATTTTAAAAAAGCTGTTAAGGTCTTTTGTCTTCTAGAATCGGAAGCACACGCTTTTTCAAAATAAACTGCAATTCTTGTTGATCTCCAAGCTAGGGAGTCAGCCCCTCCCGCCTTCTTACAGCTCACAAAAGGGGCACCTGGCTCTTAAATCTATTTTCTACAAAGTTTCCCAGGTTTTTAAAAAAAAAACCCACTATGAACAAATCTGGATTGTTTGAAGATGTTCCAGCTTTAGGTTCCATAAAAAGCCAGGATTGGCATTAATAAAACTCACGTATCTTCCAAACACTTCCAAGTGTGTGAACACACTCAGGCACCGAGTGCCATGCCTGCACCCTGGACTGGGTACCCTGGCAGCCCAACAAGCACGTACTCGCCCAGGACTGGGGTCTCGCGAGCCGGGCCCAGCACTGGAGTTCCGGGGCCTCTGCCCCCACAGAGGGCCCGGTCTTTCGGACCTCCTGGTCTGGTCAGGCCGGTGTCCCCCGCAGAAGCCACGTGAATGCACATGCGGATCCAGGCACGGGCAGGGCTCCCGCTGGGTAACCGGGGTTGGGACAACCGGGCCCTCCGGTCCCTGCCAGCGGCTCCTCTGATGGGAGAGTCTGGGCTGTCAAGAGAACCTTGTAGGTTGGGCCTCTGAAGACTGGCATGTGTGCACACAGGCCAAGCAGGAACTCGGGAATATGAGCCTCTCAGCTGGCTCATGTTTTTCCAGAAATGTCCAAGTGCCTACCTCCATTTGAGTTGGGTCCAGAGCTTTCCATGAGTAACTGCCCACCACTTGGCTGGTATGTGTTCAGTATCTTTACCTGACAACCCCCCACATGGTCCCCGAGCTGCAGGCCGCATGCTGTACACATCCTGCTACTCAGAGCAGTGGGGTTTCAGGTGTGTATTCCCTAAACCACTGGGATCCCACACGCACTCTCATCTGTGGCATGTAAGAGAGTTTAGTTTTCCAAAGATGAGAACAGGTGGCAGGACCTTGGCCAAGGTGAGGGTGCCCTGACCAGGCAGACCTTCAGAGGTGGGTGCCTCCCCGGACTGCTCCCCTCGCCTAGCAAAACCAGCCTCGCTGCTCTTAGGAAGGAAACTGCCCACTTGGCGTTGAGAGGTCAGTACACAGGATTGCTTCCAAGTCTCCAATATTGACCCATTCAATTGAGCTTTGATATGACAGCTTGTAGTTGTCTTCAGTCACCTTAGTTTGTTAAAAATGTACTTGCTTTGAAGATCCTATAGAGTGACCACCCACTAATGTGGGGTATAAGTCAACCCTCCCGACATGGTTGTTTTTTTTTTTAAAGCAGAATTTCTTATAAGAGTCTTACTGATCACACAGTGGTTACAAGAATGTTAGATATAATGATGTATACAATCTAAACGACAGGCTAATTAAGAATTTACATCACGTAAAAACAGTAGAAGCTAGCCATGTGGATAGATGCATGTAGTCGGGGAAGCAGTGATGAGAGGTGGGGACTGAGGGCCCACAGGCAGTAATACTGCTTTTCCTTCCATGAAACAGATAAAGGTGTTCCACACACGTCCAAACACACAAGGGCAAACCTGACCTGTCACGTGTACAGTCCAGTGGTCTGTGGTCTCTTCTGCAACATGCCCATGGACACAGCATACAGCCAACCCCATGCAGGTAGCAGGAAGCATTGTTTATGCTAGCTGACCCTGGAAAATTGCCACGGTCCTGAAGAATGGTGTGGAAAACCTGCTGGTTTCTCTACCAACATGGGCATGAGTTTGAGCTCTTAGAACCCTAAGCAGAAGAAATGCCACTCTTTTCTCTGGGCCTTTTTGAGAAACTGGACCAAAATTATAAAGAATTCAAGGTTCCTTCCAAGCAATGGTGTTTTTTGTGTTACAGTCCACAGAGCTCCCAGCCTCACCAGAGCGTTGACCTAGGGCACTACTGTGTGCACCCCCACTCAACCCTTTTTGCCAACTTTTATGGCAAATACATTTTGGTGGGGGCTACACTTGACAACTTCCGCATACACATCCTCTTACAGAGGTTTCTCCAGTTGAGTAGAAACCCTTCTATAAAAAGTTGGCCAGTTCCATGAACCCAGAGAGGAGACTTGACGGCTCTCTCAGTGCTCAAACCACAAGTTCCTACTGGGGAAACAGCATTAAAAGTAACTTGGTCTATTTTATTGGCAACTTAGAATGCAAAGTACTTTATTTTTAAACGAAATTTGAAAACAAAACAGCCTAGGTTAAATGATGTAGTTTTCCAAAGCTAATGTCCTCATCTTGAGCTCAGTTTTGCTGCGTGATGTACAAAAACAACTTCCTAAAACTCCTAGGTGGGCAACACTACTGTTTGGTGATCTCAGATTAGACGAACGGATCAGTCTCAGTTGGTGGCATCCCTTTTCTACCCTGGGAAGGGTTTTAAAAATTCTAGAGCAGATGCATTTTTCTAGTCTTACACGGAGCATTTCCTCCCAAATGTCTCCTGAGAGGCGTACACCATGTACAGGAATCCGTCTGCATCCTTCTCGCGCTCGTACACTTCAGAAATCGGCGTGGACACACTCACCATGCTGTGTCCGTTCACTAACAGAAAGAAGGCTTGATTCGCATTGAGCTGTAAGCGCCTTCTATGGAGAGAAAACAATGTGAAGAAATACTGATACATCAATAAATAAAAGGCTCGTGTAAAGATACCACCCACCCTTGATCAGTTTAACAGTGTAACGATTTTGCAAATGCTGCTTCTGGCAAAACAGAGTGCATTCCTTACAGTGACAACTCGAATTTTTTATAAAAGCATAGAAGATTTTTGATGATGATATCCATGATCAATGTTGGTGATAACTGGTAGATTTATTTTTCCTGAAGCCAGTTTAAACTAGTATGCTGTCTGGACAGCCACTAGTGTCGAATATGAGAAAAAGCAGTTCAAAAAATAATTTACAAACAAAGGTCTAAGCTGGTGCAATTTATTACTGTTGGTTGACCCAGGTCTGCATTCTTTTGTAAATTTTACTATACAACACTTGGAGCTTTTCTGATTAAGAGACATCTGCGCTAGCTGTCATGACGAATGAGTCAGGGGCACATGAAACCCAGCAAGTGAGAAATAGAAACACTCAGGAAAAAACGGCTGAGTAGTTTTATTAAGCTTGCATAAATTTTAACCAGTACTAAAGATTTATCTGTAAGTCTGATAAAGACTGAGAAATTAAAAAAAAGAAATTCAATAAAAAGTGATTAAATACCTAATTATCTTGATGAGTTCACTCATGTTGACATGATCAGGTACAAGGAACTTGGTTTTATCCAGGACAGGAAGCTGCTTCTCACCCTTGTATCGTTCTATTATAACCTAGAAAAGAAGTCAGAGAAGAGGGTTGCGAACAGCCATTAACAGTGAAGGCCAGAATACGTCCTGCGTTGTCACTGGCACACGACAAAACAGGTTTCAGGGCA